TTTTGTGCTCAGCCATCGCGTCTCTGTTATGTGTTACTGCACTTCCGTGCTTCAGAGTTCCATCTTTTACCTTCCTTCAATATTACGTTGATTTAAATTACGTCACTATTAAAATCGATTTTTGGCATTTGTGAATCGATTCAGAATGGTCCATGTCTGCATTCGCGATGCATCTAAGAATCGATTTTTTCCCCCAACCCTCCTTGGTATGGCCACCTGAGACAAAGTAGCTTGCAGCAGACTCCTGGAACACAAAGGTAATTCTTAGGATATCCACAGGTGAGTACAGCAGCTAAGAACTATATATCCTTATAGGTAGGGTGACCAACTGCTAATAAGCCCAAGGGGGGACAAGGGGTATGTTTCTGAGGGACAATGTGGGACACTGCTTGGCGCGGCGCCCCCACCCCACGGGCAGACTCACTGATAGTGGTTTGCCCACAGGCTATCTAGAATTATTACTATTGCCTTACTGTTTGTACATGAATAATTATTCAAAAAAAAAAAAAGCACATACCTTAGCACATACTTTAATAATGCCATATTCCCTAAACTAGCCTAATTGCTGATATGCTCATGAATAGGCCAACCAATGTGTATTTTTTTTTCTAAATAAAGATGACTATTTTGAACATTCAATGAATTGACAGATGCACTTCCACTTACGATTTACTTTTGCTATTTAATTTTATTTATTTTTCATTAGCTACAATTAATTCACTTTAAATAAATAAAAATATAAAATTATAGGATTAACAGGAATTATAGTTGCTCAACACCACAGGAACAGTTTTAAAAAAAGTCGAAAAAAAGTCTAAACTCACAACTCCAGAGGTTCACGGAAGGAGAAGGTGCGCTGTCATGACAACAATGAAAAAGTTGACATCAACCTAGTCAGCAGGTCACGTGGGAGTGGCAACCAGTGTTGGGAAGTTCACTTTCTACATGAACTAGTTCAAAGTTCAGTTCACACATTTTAAAATGAACTAGTTCGGTTGAAAGTTTGCACAGAAATGTAAGATTTTTCCCATCTTCACCGACCTCGTTATAAAATCCGTTTAAATGATCATACGTTTTAGCCGGGTTTTCGCCTGGAATTGAACGAAGTTAAACTGAGAGAGCGTGCGTTCACTTCACAGACACCAGAATGAACGAGTTCACACGTTCATCGGGACAGGCAGTAAAACAATACGTTCACTTCACAACGTTCAGTTCAATATATGAACGAGTTCATGAACGTGAACGTGTTCAGGCACAACGTTTGGCTGCCTAGGTCTCGAGGATATAGACTGACCTACTTTTTTTTTTTTGAGCAACCATTGATTATGCGTGACACGGTCTCAATTTGCGGGACGCATGAATTGGGCTTCAAACGCTGTGCGCGCACGCGCTACGCGGGACGGGTGGTCACCCTACTTATAGGCCAAACACTGACTGAATGCTTGTGTGTGCTTATAAAGGAGTGAAGATGACTGAAGTGATAAGGATCAGGTGTGGGTTATTGGTAACTATGGTAACTGATTGTTTTGCACACTCGGGTACCGTAACAGGGGGAATGTGACATAAATATTAAAATATAAATAATTTAAAAACCATATTTATTACTACACTACCAACATAAAAATAGTTCAAAGTAAATAGTTTAAAAAACCAAGAGAAAATTAAGCTTTTTTTATAATATATATCCTTTATTTCATGTTCATTGACAGTTCTCTAGGTTGAATGTTGCACTACACACTGGGCAGAGCATATTCCCCTCTCAACTAATATTTCAGGGAATGTTGTCTGATTTAAAAAAAAAAAATGAAAGAAAAGAAAAATACAACTATAAGACAATGTAACCTCTCAAATATCAATCCTAGCTGTACACAAGACACATGACAACAGCTGATTAAATGGTGAATGTACACTCTGTAACTTAAATAAGGCATCTTCTTGAAGATGATTGACAATTTCAGTATTTTAACGGTGAGTGGGTGGATAATATCACCCTGTATCATCCCATTATTTTGAACGGAATGCGGTATGTGGCACATTTAATGACATTCTGGAAAAAAAACAATTCGCATCTATCATTTCAATAAATTGAACTTCTTTGAAACACTGAAAGTGAAGTGTGAGTGTCAGAAGTTGATGGATACCTCTATTACACTCAAGCCAAAGCTCAATAAATGGCTTTCATCCAGCAAAAACATCAAGATAATCAGTCTTTCAGTTCTCAAAAGGAAATTCTCGATTGGCATTTTGGTATTTGAGACTAAGATTGCAAATAAAGCAGGCATATAACACACATAAATGGCATTTACTGGCTATTAAAGGCTTTGAAACATTTCAAGTTTCCATTTTTCTTCAACATAAATTGGAAATATATTTAAGTCTATCTATGTACATTGTATTCCATAGGTCTACAGTAAATAATTAAGGCCAAAACCAAATGCCTCTCCATGGCAAAACTTTAGACATCTGACATCTGGAAAAATATTCATGGTGTTATACAAAGCGAAATCAAGGACGAGATCAGTAACATAATTCAATCAAACTTAAAAAAAAAACAAAGCTCTAAAACTTGCGAGAGTGTCGATAGACAACAGACTGACTAAACAGTTCAAGGAATAATTCACCCAAAAATTAAAATTCTGCCATCATTTTCCTCAGTCCCTTCAATGAAACAAAAAAGTAGATATTTTGAAAAATGTCAATGCCGCTCTTTTCCATTCAGAGAAAGGATACATTAAAATTTTGGGGTTAATTATACCTGATACAACTTTACCAAATGAGTGTGTCACAATAAATGCTTATTAACAGTTAGGATTTTCAAATTTAGTGGCAGTAACATTCCTTGGTTAACCTCATCTTAGCATAGCTAATTACTGTAGTGCTCTCAGCCTCTGGCTATGTGTTGAAATGTGGATGCTTATATGCCAGCTGTCGGAACAAGATGCCAAACACACTTACAGCTTTTAAAATGGTGCAATTCAACTGTGTTTAAAATAAACACAAACCAACAAAAGGTGAAGTCAGCAGCATTCAAAACACATCAAATGACACAACTGGCCTGCTTCAGGAAAGCAAAAGCCAGGTTCAGGACCAATCAACACTTCAACAGAACAAACATTCAGATTAAACTGTCCTCGCAGGGTCACTTTACAGCAACTGAAAACGCAGTAGATGGGTTTGGACACGGCAGCAATCCAACCTGAAATGAGTAGTTTAATCACTCTGCACATACAATGATGTCTGATGCAACTCTCTGAAACACTTTAGGCATGCTGGAAAGTTTAGCAAATGGGTGAATCTCAAGACACAGGTCAAGAATGTGTCCTATTTCAACTAAACTTGATTGAAAATGAAGATTTCTTGCATTGTGACATTCTTTTTCAAACGTTTATCCCACAAATCTCATTATTGTAATGCTCACCAAGACTTTAAAAATACAGTAAATTCAGTGGTATTGTAAAATAGTATTACAATTTATAACAACTGTTTTCTTATTTAATATATCTGAAGATTTGATGTATTCCTGTGATGTCAAAGCTGAATTTTTAGCATCATGAATCAATATTCTTGTGGAAACCTTGATAGAGTTGTTTTTTCAGGATTCTCTGATGAATAGAAAGGTCAAAAGAAGATCCTTTATTTGAAATAGACAACCCGATCATCACGGGAATTCGTACGAATTTGACGAGGTGGCTAATTCGTAACAATTCGTACGACCTCACTCGTACGAATTAGTACGATTTTGCTAAATCGTACATATTGTACGAATTAGCCAATTCGTGTGAATTCGTACGAATGACCTACCCCTGACCCCGCCCCTAAACATAACCGTCACGTGGGTTTAGACAAATCGTACAAATTCGTACGAGTGAGGTCGTATGAATTAGTACGAATTAGCCACTTTTGAATCACTCGTACGAATTCGTACGAATTGGTCGTGAGATAGCGTAGAAATAGAATGTTTCCTAAATAAATAAATGTATTCATTTCTTCCAATTAAAATGTCCTGACCCCAAACTTTTAAACATTAGTGTACACATATAATTTTATTTCATTTATAATTTTCTGATGTTGTTGGTATTTGTGGTACAACCTCTAATCTATGTTGATTTCATTGTATTGCAGTATTTGTTTACTGGAACATTATTTAAAGGGTTAGTTCACCCAAAAATGAAAATTCTGTCAGTATTTACTCACCCTCATGTTGTTCCAACCCCGTAAGACCTTCGTTCATCTTCGGAACACAAATTAAGATATTTAAGATATTAAGATCGCTCCTGCATACAGTCCATAGGCTTCTTGAGGGACTGGCTCTTGCTGTCCTCGAAAAGTCATTAAAGACATCGTTAAAATAGTCCAAGTGACTACAGGGGCTCAATCTTAAGTTTATCAAACGACGAGAACACTTTTGTGCGCAAAAAAACAACAAAAATAACGACTTTATTTCAACTATTTCTCCCTCTGCGCGAGTCAGGTTACTAGTTTAATAGCGTAAGCTTCTGTTATTGTACGTCACACGCATCACACACACATGACCAGCGTCGGCCAATAGTGAGCCTACGTGTGACGTAGCTCTACGCAATCACACTACGTTAACTGACTTATAGGCTCATGGAGAAGGAAGTGAATAGTTGAAATAAAGTCGTTATTTTTGTTGTTTTTTTGCGCACAAAAGTGTTCTCGTCGTTTGATAAACTTAAGATTGAGCCCCTGTAGTCACTTGGACTATTTTAACGATGTCTTTAATGACTTTTCGAGGACAGCAAGAGCCAGTCCCTCAAGAAGCCTACGGACTGTATGCAGGAGCGATCTTAATATCTTAAATATCTTAATTTGTGTTCCGAAGATGAACGAAGGTCTTACGGGGTTGAAACAACATAAGGGTGAGTAAATACTGACAGAATTTTCATTTTTGGGTGAACTAACCCTTTAAGGAGTATAATCTAATGAACTGTAGGGATTTTGAGGAATAATGTCTTAAGATTGTCACGAAAAAACCAAAGTAGTTTTAAAAATAGACATTTTTAATGCAAATATGACTCGGACATTGGTGAGATTCACCCTTTTAGTGGTTTTGAGAACGTATTTCAGCAGACTTGACAAAGTTCAAACAACGCCCCTTCACAGACACACTGACACGGAAACACAGCGTTCACATACAAGTAAATGTCTTTAGGCAAACACACTGGATTTACACTGGAATGGGATTACCGAAGGTCGAAGCAGTGCAAAATTCCCACTTTCGCTTACACAAGGAACAACACTGAAATTGTTCTTTGGCAAAGAGCAGTTTAAAATGAACGTTTCATTTCAACTTTGTCAAGATCAAACACATGATACACAGGTGGGATGAACACACAGTGGCTCTCCCTGTCGTTAGATAGCGCTTCCATGAAACCTTCCTTTCCTGTGGGGGGTCACAGATGTCGTTCATCACTTCCTGTGAGGTCACCGTGAGAACATGAAGTCATCACAGATGGAGCCAAACGTTTCCTGCGAGGTCACGGAGACACATATTCCCAGTGTCGTCACAGTGGTCACATCTTCACACAGTGGGTATGAAGCGAGAATCACACGTGTAAGCGTTGGACGGGGCCCATTCATGTCCTTGAGTTCAGCAAACAAATAAATAAAGCGAGCCCAGGTGGCAGAGGAAAATTTGATATCGGTCGATTCAAACACTGGAGAACATCAATGTTGGCAGGCGCTCGTCTCCTCCCGGATTCATCACCCAACACATAAATTAAAAAACTGTGCTTGAGAAAGAGCCCAAACTGTCCGTTCAGCGTGTTTTTTGTCGTTGGCCAGGCTGGTCTGTGTAAGCAAGCTGGTGTTTAGTGTGTGCCAGTCCTACCACACCTCACAGCGGTGGCCGGAGTTCATGGCAGAGCCCAGCGGACACTGGAAGTGCTCTGCGAAGTCGGGTGAGTTGGACAGGGTGCCGACGACGCGGTATTTGGGTGGGCTGTGAGGGTCCGTCATCAGGCCCTCGTGAGCGCTTTCTGGCGTTCGGACGGAGCACCACACCTGAGAACAAGAGTCAAACGAATGCGTTTGATGTGAGACCACACGTTTTCACCATCACTGTTCTGGTTTGTATTGTTTTTAGCAGGGCCGGCCCGTGGCATAGGCGGTATAGGCAAATGCTAAGGGCGCTACCACTCAGGGGGGCGCCAAAATGAGTGAACGAGTGAACTTTTTTTTTACTAATACTATTTTAAAACCATTAATTCGAAATACTACAAAATAAAGCAAAACAGTTCCACAAAATCTTAACTAAGTCCCCCGACTCCGGTCCGGTGCATCAATCTCCCCCCGCCCAGCGAGTGCTTGAAGTGCGCCAGAAACAGAGCGCGCGTGATCAGTTTACTGTTGGTCCAACCCGGTCTCATCCCAAAAAGTCATTTAACTGACGTTTTGGGACGTCTTTTGACCATACGTCAATATTCGCCTTTTTAGGGCCCCCTTAAACGTCGGTAGATGAGGTTATGGGATCCTAACTCTACCCCATACCTAAACCTAACCCTAAACCTAACCCGTCACCTAACTGACGTTAAAGGTAAAGCGTCAGTTGTATGACGGCCCGGGATCGCCATCTACCGACGTTTAAGGGGGCCCTAAAAAGGCAGATATTGACGTATGGTCAAAATACGCCCAAAGACGTCAGTTATATGACTTTTTGGGATGAGACTGTGTTAGTTGGTCATTTGTTTTTTAGCGTCCCTCCTCGCCGCATCCAATGTAGACAACATTGCTTTCGTTTGAGGGCGCTTACACTAAAGCACAGGTTTATTAAAAGTAGCTAATGTTTCATGTAACATTCACATTAAAGACATTTAGCAATTTCATTCATGTTGAAAACATGAAACGTGCCATAATTTAGTGGAAGATTGCTGCCATCATCTCCCAAACAAACACTTTTGCTTGTGCTCAATGAATAGTTTGTGCATGAATTACATTTGGAACATGACATCCCTGTTTTATCTAGAGCGGCTATATATAAATGAAATAAATAAATCAAAAAATACAATAAAATAAACCTTCACTGAACATACTTAAGCTTGATTATGACACTATTTTTCTTCTAGATCTGCTGTACTTTGTTGCATTATTTTCCTGTTATCACTGTAAGGCTGCTTGAAATATCTGTATTGTAGGCTAAAAAGCACTAAAGGGGGACTTGACTTGAATGCTAACTAGATGTAATGCTCTTGCTATATATATATATATATATATATATATATATATGACTAAATAATCAACAACACAAATGATGGGGTGAAGTGGGCTGTAATGCATGGGGCGCCAGGTAAAATCTTGCTTAGGGCAGCAAATTGGTCAGGGCCGGCCCTGGTTTTTAGTGTTGCTTTAGTGTGATATCGTTCACAATACGTCATATCAAGTGCTTTATTTAACAGGTATTATATTCGATTTATTGGTAACACTTGATTTAAAGAACATATGAATTAATACATTTAATAATATACTAACATTATAATAGTAACACTTTACAATAAGGTCCCTTTAGATAATGCATAACTTAACTAACAATGAGGAAGACAGTTTTTAATAAGCTATGTCTATGTTAGTTAGTAAAAATATAACTGTTTATTAGTTCATGTCAGCTCAGGTCCATTTAATAATACTAACAGATCTAACTTTTGAATTAAAAAATTTAAATAAAATTTAAATAATAATTATTAATGTTGATATTAACATTTGTTAATATATATATATATATATATATATATATATATATATATATACGCCATAGTTGCATATATGAACATTAACAAAAATTCAGTTATCAAGGAAATATTAATTTCATGCAGTAATAAATGAATATTATAAGTTATATAATGTTAATATATTAACATAGCATAAATATGTATGATATTACAGAAATCATTTACAATATATTCCATGTTATGATATAATAATATTACATATTCAAATTTACCAAGATTAAGATATGCTGTAAGAAGACTGGAATTCAATCAAATCACTGATTGTCAAAATTCAAATCACTGATTAATCTTGGTTGATATAAACTATAATAACACGTTCATATTAATTTTGCGTGTCAAATTTTTTTTTTTTAATTTTTATTTTAATATATTAACAAGAAGCAATTAAAAAAGGTTGCTTAATCGATACCTAAACCATTGACTTTAAAGTGTTACTTTATTATAAAAATGAATATATATATATATATATATATATATATATATATATATATATATATATTTTTTTTTCCAGCAAATTACTTACACTGCCTGAGATGCAAAATAAGTTTAATATTTGTCCTGTATTTGCGAGGCAAAGCATGTTTACCAGTCACACAGTAGTTGGGTGAACAGGTGTTTCACGTCATACTTGTTATTATTTTCGCATACTTGCTTCTCTTTTTGTGTGTCTTTTCATACCTGTGCAAAACCTAAGAAGAAGAGCTGGTCGTTTGTCAGATTGACAGCGGGAAGTCTCTTCTCTTCACCGTTCTTCTTCACCCATGACCTGTACGCCTGTCCAAACAAAGTTTGCCTTAGTTCAATTTAACTGCAACATTTGCATTAGCTCTGGGAAAATAAATGTGTAGTGATTTATATCCATCACCAGAAGGGGGAGCCACGGGAACCACAAAATCTTCCAATTATCTTATATGTCAATGGGATTTCACCCCATGTTGTATATGCACATTTAATAAATGACAAAAAAGCTAAAAAAAAATTAAAGAAATGTAACTAGTGTCAGGTAAATTACACTTCAACAGTGCAATTGGATTACTTTCCTAATCACAAAGCATTCAAAGGGTCAGGGTTACATTAAAAACATACATTTTAACATTAGACGACGTTAAATTCAATGAAATCTGTAATAAAATGACAGAAAAATAACAGTAGAGCCTTACTTTACTGTAATTAAATGACAGTAATGAATGACTTAACACCCAAAACTGAATGTGACCTACGTGATAGGCCGCTTTCAGGCCACCGTTGTCTGCTATGTTTTCTCCCAGCGTCTGTTTGCCATTAATGTGCTCTCCGTTGATGGTGTACTGGGTGTACTGGTCCACCATACACTCGGTGCGGTTCTTAAATGCCTCCACCGAGGAGTTCTGCCACCAAGGCCGAAGGTTCCCATCTTTGTCATACTCTCTGCCTGTGTAATACAATTAAAGGTTTATAAATTTTGAATTGTGTTGATGCACTATAAAAAATGTATCGCAACTTTACGAGCTCAAAAAGCCCATCATTGAAATTAAGCCCTACTTAAGTGTACTTAAAGGGAGTTCACTTTAATTGACATTTCATTTCAAGTAGGCTACATTTTTAAAAAGTCCACTTTGTAATAAGGTCAAATTAAAAGTTTTACTGTAAAATGCATTCAGGGAAAGACACAAATACGATATGACCCCCAGTGTACTAACCTTGATCATCAAATGCATGCGTTAACTCGTGTCCCATGACCACTCCAATACCACCAAAGTTTAAAGCTCTGTGAAACACACCACATCACAGTTGTTATGCTAACTATGCTAACTATGCTAACATGCTAACTATCTCAGCCACGTCTGCTCACATGGGGTGGTCGTGGGCGTAGAACGGGGCCTGCAAGATGCCGGCGGGGAACACGATTCCGTTCTTGGTCGGCATGTAGTAAGCGTTCACCGTGGGTGGAGTCATACTCCATCTACAGATGCAAAGATAGCGCAATCACAAACCAGCCACCGTCCTACAGGAAGCCTCGCTTCTCTCTTAACACACACTGTTAAACTCACTGGTCTCTGTTCGGTGGCTTGCGGAGCTGGTCTGCCATCACTCGTGCTGAGAAGTTGTAGAAGTTGATCATATTCTGGAAGAAGTTGTCTTCTGTAACCTCATACTACAAGAAACAAACATCACATTACCTGTTAGCTGGGATATTTTCAGTATTATTAAATTAAATAAAGTACTTAAATAAATCAGTAACCTATATAATATAATCGGTAATAATAATAATGGGTCGGTAAGATTTTTTTGTTTTTGAATGTCTCACTGAGACTGCATTTATCAGAAAAACACAATAACAACAATAATATTGTGAAAAATGTTTTAAAAACATTTTAAAATAGATTTTAAAATGTAATTTATTCTTGTGATTTTCAGCATCATTTCTCAGTGTCACATGATCCTTCAGAAATAATTCTAATATGACGATTTGATGACCAAGAAAATTTTCGGATTATTATTGATGCTTTTTTTCAGACAATTTTTTTGAGGATTCTCAAAAGTTCAAAAGAACAGAATTTGTTTGATATATATAGCCTATATATATATATATATATATATATATATATGAAGAGTTCAGATGCAAAAGCCTCTAAGTGCCATTTAAAATTTTCTTCTAGAATGATCATTTTTATCAAGCTTGTATATTTAAGTTCAGTGATTTCACTGAAATGGCAATGATAATTACCTATTAATTGTTATTTAAGAGAAATTGCTGAACTTAAATATACAAGTTTGATAAAAATCATCATTAAAGAAGAAAATTTCAAATGGCATTTAGAGGCTTTTGCATCTGAACTCTTCATATATATATATATACAGTATATACATATATATATATATTTTTTTTTCAGAATGTAAATGTTTTACTGACATTTTTGATCAATTTAATGCATCCTTGCTAAATACAGTAGGCCTACTATTCATTTAAAAAAAAAATGAATGGTTGTACAAATAGATTTAAATTAAACATATTATTTATCCACAATTACTAATTGAATGTACAATATGAATGATTTTTTTTAATATTTCACTGTCATATTTTTACATTGAATGCACTGAAAATCATTTAAACCTGAAAATAAAGTTTTAGGATTCTTAAAATGTAAGCGAAAGCTGTTCGCTGACTCACCCCATCATACACATCATCAAGCTCTTTGGAGTCCAGAATGAAGTCTGGAAATCCGATCATGTCATAGATGGCATCCGCCTAGAGCCAGAAAACACACTTTATCCCGATTTCTTGACAAGCAATGCAGAGTGTTTACAGTTAAGCTTTTTTCGCCGTCCTGAATCCCAGACAAATCCGCAAGTCTCTCAGTCATTCTCATTCTCTCACCTTGTCCTTGGCAGCTTGTCGGGTTTGATCATCCATCCAGTTCAAATCATCTAGCGCGTTTTTGAAAGCTGAGCGGATTTCATTGATCATTCCTTCCGCCTGCATTTTGACAGAAAAGATGAGGTTGTGAACTCTAAAATTCACATTTCTGCCACATGATGGCAAACATGCATCACCAATGAGATTCCAAATTAAACACGCGGACGGTAACACTTTAGAATACGGTTCCTTCGTTAATGAATAACTACACCAGAACTAATGAGGAACACAATATTAACAATCTAGTAACTATTATTAACTAACAAGAAACTCTGATTAACGAACTAAGTAATAGCGCACAGACGAAAGTGGTAGTTCACTATTAAGTAATCAATAACTACTATTTTTTTAATACTTCCCAGAGTTTATTAACAATCTAGTAACTACTATTAACTAAAAGAAACTCGTATTAACGAATTAGTAAGTAATAGCTCACAGATGAAAGTGTTACTAGATACTTCTGTGGGAATTAGGCCTACTAATTATTTGGATCCGTATTATAAAGTGAAGATCGTTGGAACTAACTAGTAATTACTCAAGTGTTACTACATGATCTAGTCATGATTTGTGCAAACGTTTGAGATTTTTGGTGAACTTTAGTATACTTTTAGAAAATGTCTTTAGTAACACTTGAGTAATTACTAGTTAGTTCCAATGATCTTCACTTTATAATACGGATCCAAATAATTAGTAACTCCCACAGAAGTATCTAGTAACACTTTCATCTGTGAGCTATTACTTACTAATTCGTTAATAAGAATTTATTTTAGTTAATAGTTGTTACTAGATTGTTAATAAACATTTTCAGTAGTTCTCTGGGAAGTATTAAAAAAACAGTAGTTATTGATTACTTAATAGTGAACTACCACTTTCGTCTGTGCGCTATTACTTACTAGTTCGTTAATCAGAGTTTCTTGTTAATTAATAATAGTTACTAGATTGTTAATATTGTGTTACTCATTAGTTCTTGTGTAGTTATTCATTAACGAAGGAACCGTATTCTAAAGTGTTACCGCGCGGACATAAACCAAATACTCTTACAATGACAAACGGCTTTGAGTTACTCACTATTTCTTTGCTCTGTTTGTCGAAGGTGGCTTTGACGAAAAGAGCACCCAATGCAAAACCGAGAGTGTCATCTGTGTTCCCGATACACGTCTGCCAGCGTGGGGTACAGGACTGAACACAAAACAGACATGTTGACAAATTACACTCATCAACTTATCTGGCAAACCTGAAACATTAGTCATAAAATCACAAAATGGAGACCATTGCATTGGGACCAAAATGGGGACCACTTATTGTACAGTGTTACCGTTTTTTCAATCCATACAATGTAAGTGAATGGGGAGTGGGGCTTTTGAGCTCTAAAAATGCAATAAATGTATTATAAAAGTAGTCCAAGTGTTCTGAATCCACATTATTGCTAAAAGTTTGACTATGGGCAAATTCAAATGAAATGACTATTTCTTTAATTCATCCATACACACCTTCTTCGTGCCGTAGAGGCTCTCCAGGAGCTTATCCTGAGCGTTCTCAAACCTCTGGTCGAGACTGGACGCTCCTTTCTGCACCAGATTCCAGATCATGTAATTATTCAGAAGACTGGAGAACAAAGAGAAAGAGTGCATCATAATATCTAAAAAGAGGACCATTCCTGCATGTGTATTCATTTATTTATACAGACCGAGAGAGAGACTGTGTTACAGAAGATCTAAGAAGGAATAAATGCATTAATATCTGTAGACGGAGAGGCAGAAGAGTGAGAACGGGTGAGAGAGAGAGTCTGTTCTTAGTACCGAATGTTCTGATACACAATCTAAAACAGACGCTCTCAGAGGGGACGTCCTCTTCCTGAACTCTGAACCGTAGAGAAAGCCGTACCTGCGGTCGGTCTTGTTGATGAGCTCCGAAACTTGTTGCATGTATTCCTTGGCGTAGACCACCACAGGCTCCGTGTCGTTTAACTCTAGCGGGGAAAGGACCGAGTTCAGATAATCCAACCATTCAACTGCCGGAGCCAACACCTATGACCGAAACAAATGTCATAATGTCATCAGTCAATTATTTCCTCATTCATTTCAGTGTAATGCAGTGTTGGAGTGTAAAATCACAATTACGAAAAACAAAAAACAAAAAAAAAGCAAAAACCGCCCTTGACCCTAACACTGACACCTGTTTATGGAAGCTTGTTTCTGCCACTGAATAAAAAAAGAAAAAGATAATTGCAACTATTAATCTCAGAATTGTGAGATATGAAGTCAGAATAAAGTCGCATTTGCAAGATATAAAGTCGCAATTCTGAGAAATAAAGTCGAAAAAAGACAGAATTGAGACTTTTTATCACACAATTGCGAATTTCTATCTCGAAATTCTAATATTTTTCTCAGAATTGTGAGATATACACTTGCAATTGCGAGTTATCAGGCCAATTCTAAGGTGAAAAAAAGACTAATTTTTTCCCGTCAAAATAGTTTATATCTCACAATTCTGACTTTACAACATACAATTGCGACTTTATATCATGTATTTCTGACTATATCTCGCAATTCTGACTATATATTTCGCAATTCTGAATTAATTTAACACGCAATTGCGACTTTATATCTCGCAATTCTGACTTCTGACTTTATATCTTGCAATTCTGACTTTATATCTCGCAATTCTGACTTCTGACTTTATATCTTGCAATTCTGACTTTATATCTTGCAATTCTGACTTTATATCTTGCAATTCTGACTTTATATCTCGCAATTCTGACTTTATGTCTCACAATTCTGACTTTATATCACGCAATTCTGACTTTATATTTCGCAATTCTGAATTAATTTAACACGCAATTGCGACTTTATATCTCGCAATTCTGACTTCTGACTTTATATCTTGCAATTCTGACTTTATATCTCGCAATTCTGACTTTATATCTCGCAATTCTGACTTTATAACAAAATTGTGACTTATATCTTGCAATTCTGACTTTATATCTCACAATTATGACTTAATAACGCAGTTCTGACTTTATATCTCACAATTCTGACTGTATATCTCACAATTCTGACTTTATAACAATATTCCGACTTATACCTCACAATTCTGACTTAATAACACAATTGCAACTATATCTCACAATTCTGACTTTATAACGAAATTGCGACTTTATATCTTGAAATTCTAACTTTATATCTCGCAATTCTACCTTTATAACAAAATTGTGACTTATATCTTGCAATTCTGACTTTTGACATTATATCTTGCAATTCTGACTTTATATCTCGCAATTCTGACTTTATATCTCGCAATTCTGACTTAATAACACAATTGCAACTATATCTCACAATTCTGACTTTATAACGAAATTGCGACTTTATATCTTGAAATTCTAACTTTATATCTCGCAATTCTACCTTTATAACAAAATTGTGACTTATATCTTGCAATTCTGACTTTTGACTTTATATCTCGCAATTCTGACTTTATATCTCGCAATTCTGACTTTATATCTCGCAATTCTGACCTGATATTTCGCAATTCTGACTTTATATCTCGCAATTCTGACCTGATATTTCACAATTCTGACTTTATATCACGCAATTCTGACTTTATATCACGCAATTCTGACTTTATATCTCGCAATTCTGACCTGATATTTCGCAATTCTGATTTTATATCTCGCAATTCTGACTTTATATCACGCAATTCTGACTTTATATCTTGCAATTCTGACTTTATATCTCGCAATTCTGACTTTATATCACGCAATTCTGACTTTATATCACGCAATTCTGACTTTATATCTCGCAATTCTGACCTGATATTTCGCAATTCTGACTTTATATCACGCAATTCTGACCTGATATTTCGCAATTCTGACTTTATATCTCGCAATTCTGACTTTATATTTCGCAATTCTGAATTCATTTAACACGCAATTGCGACTTTATAACACGCAATTATCTTGCAATTCTGACTTTATATCTCGCAATTCTGACTTAATATTTCGCAATTCTGACTTTATAACATGCAATTGCGACTATATCACACAATTCTGACTATATCTCGCAATTCTGACTTAATATTTCGCAATTCTGAATTAATTTAACACGCAATTGCGACTTTATATCTCGCAATTCTGACTTCTGACTTTATATCTTGCAATTCTAACTTTATATCACGCAATTCTGACTTTATATCACGCAATTCTGACTTTATACTTCGCAATTCTGAATTAATTTAACACGCAATTGCGACTTTATAACACGCAATTCTGACTTCTGATGTTATATATCTTGCAATTCTGACTTTATAACACGCAATTGCGACTTTATATCTTGCAATTCTGACTTTATATTACGAAATTCTGACTTTATATCTCGCAATTCTGACTTTATAACACGCAATTGCGACTTTCTATCTCTATTTCTATCAGAATTGCGAGATGTAAACTGTAAATTGTGAGATAAAAAGTTGCAATTACCTTTTTTATTTTTCATTTTGTAGCGGAAACAAGCTTCTATATTTTATATCTCACAATGGTGACTTTATATGTTGCAATGATACTATTGTAAATGCAGCTTTATAACTCACAATGTGATTTCAAATATCATAACTAGGACTATAAATCTCACAATGTGACTATCTTTATCTTTCTATAGCAATTGTATTTCACGTAATTATCATTTCATATTTAACAATTGCGATTTTTTTGTAAACTGAGATCTCACGGACTGAGCTTATATCTTGCAGTGTCATTTTAACAATCTTACAATTGGGATTATCACACAATGTGACTATATGTAGCAATTGCGAATTTCTCATCTATGACTTTGTCTCATAATGTGATTTACCATTTTGCAGTGTGACTATATCTTGCAATGACAACTTTATTTCCTGTAATTGTCATTTTATATCTGACAATAGGATCTTTATATCTCACTAGGTGATATTATATTGCACAATCTGACTTTGTCACTCACAAATACAGTATTTAACTCTACAGTTGAAGCTTCAGTAATAGGGGTTACTGATTATTATTCAGCTGTTCATATCTCAACATAACATAGCCATCATCAAGTGATGACGCACTTTAATTAAACCTTTGAATGGCACTAAAACATGGAGAGTTGCATTTAATTATGACCAATTTCCATTTTTCCATAACCTTGGATGTGAAAGCTTTGCTCGTCTCAATGTTTTCCCTTAATGATTTCTCTTTCAGCCATGAAAAGGACACAGAATGCACGTTCGGATTCGCTCTCACAGAAAAAGCTCAAATAATCAGCAGGCAAGAGTCAATAACCTGCATGTTTGCATTCCTGAAACCTAGATGCAATTCTAGCCGCTCTGCCCTTGGGTGTAATAAAACAAAGACCTCCATCGTAAACACACAGCTGAAAGCCCCCATCTATCCTCATTCCCCGCATACCCTTCATCTCTACTGTGGATTTCTGGCAGATGAAAACAAATTGGGTGACTATTTTCCCTCTCTCTCATGGTTTGAGAAGCTGAGTTGTTGTTTTTTTAATAAACTCAAAACCAAGTGAACCCTTGAGGTTGCTCTGCATAAACACATGCACAATAAGAAGTGACAGTTGCAAGCTTTGACTAATGAGGTAAAATTCAATTAAATTCAGAAATGCCCTTAAAATTAAAAAGTGTTTTTTTTTCCTTCTGTTACATGCAAAATATCGTGACTGTTGCAAGCTTTGTCTAATTAGGTAAAACACAATTAAATTCAGAATGCCTTAAATAGCTTTTGCCAGATAAATGATTCATTCTGTTGTGTATGATTTTCACAAACTGATTAGAACCTCCGGGTCTGATTGGAACTGGTAACAGATACATCTTAATACCATCTAGTTAAAGCAACCGTTAATCAGTAAATGGTGGAAAAAATCAATTTATGGAAAATCCATTTGGTTCTCAGGGTGCTCGGATATCCGAAACATGAACAGAACAACCAACAATAATAGGCTACAACATAGACAGACTAAATACTAACTGTAAACAGGCTCAATATATACTAACTCATCCAAGAAAGAAACCTTTTTTTTCAATAAAAGAGAAACAGGTGTGGTGCATTAAAGGATTAGTTCACTTTTAAAAATGTTGCTGATAATTTACTCACCCCCATGTCATCCAAGAGGTCCATGTCTTTCTTTCTTCAGTCGAAAAGAAATTAAGGTTTTTGATGAAAACATTCCAGGATTTTCTCCATATAATGGACTTCAATGGGAACCAAACAGTTCAAGGTCCAAATGAGAGTTTCAGTGCAAACTGTTCAAAGGGCTTTAAACGACACCAGACGATGAATAAGGGTCTTATCTAGGACCCTTCGAGTCATGACTCAAAAAAAAGATTTGTTCATTTTGATGAACGAATTTGAACAGGAGAGTCACGAACGCGCATCACAGAACAGAGCAAGGTGAGTATTTGTGCTTATAAAACTTAAACTTTGTTATTAATTTTTTAAATGACCAATCGTTTCGCTAGATAAGACCCTTATTCATCGTCTGGTGTCGTTTAAATCCCTTTGAACAGTTTGCACTGAAACTCTCATTTGGACCTTGAACCGTTTGGTTCCCATTTAAGTCCATTATATGGAGAAAATCCTGGAATGTTTTCATCAAAAACTGATAAGTTCTGTTAGTTTCATTGTTTTAGATTTATCTAGTTCTTTTCCTGTTTGCCTGTGTTCCCTGTCATTGTTACTAATTTGAGTTTCACACCTGTTCTCTGTTCTGTTGATTACTCCCTGTGTATTTAAGACTTCTGTTCTCGCCATTCTTGGTTTGGTATCGTCGATTTATTACGTGGTTGTGTTCTATGCTTTCCTACATGTTTCTTGTTGGATTTTGTGACCAAAGACTGTTTGGTTGAGTTTTCTATCATTGTGCAATTATTGCAACCAGTTGCTGTTAATAACGTGATCAAACGTGACAGTTCCAGCACATGTTGTTGCCGTGTAAGAAATATATATATGAAGAGTTCAGATGCAAAAAGCCTCTAAGTGCCATTTGAAATTTTCTTCTTGAAAATTTTTTACCAAGTTCAGTAATTTCACTTAAATGGCAATGAAGATGACCTATTAATTGTCATTTAAGTGAAATTACTGAACTTAGACATACAAGCTTGATAAAAATTATCATTCTAGAAGAAAATTTCGAATGGCACTCAGAGGCTTTTGCATCTGAACTCTTCATATATATATATATATATATATATCATATATCATATATCTGTATATACGCCTATATATACAGTATAATTTATTTATTTATTTATTTATTTTTTGCGAGTAAAGAGCACTTCTGTAAATTTGTGTAAAGTCAAACATAATAATCCTCCCGGGTGTCACCACACATCTGAGCTCCACGGCTGCCAGAGACATTTTCTCATCACATTCAAGAGAAGAGTGACATGAATATATAATGTATTGGTCTTCAGCTTTAAGGCAGATGAATGAAGAACTGCTGGTAATTTTGCACACTCTTGCTTGAGACGGTTTCCTTACAAATTTAGTTAGAAGGAAAATATTGTATAAACGGAGATACCAAAAAGTACTCCACGTGCACATTTATATAATCATATACAGTAGACATACTTTGTAAAACAACTATATACAATTGTTATTTCAGAATCTAAGTATAATAACCATAAGCATTAAATAATAATAGCAACAATTATAAAATGATTTGTAACAAAAACCTTTTTTTGAAAAGATTGGACTTATTACCTTTATACTGACAGCAGAGATAATTTAATCAGTAAGCGATCAACCTCAATGCTACTTCACTGTACAGTTGCTCAGCAACTGTTTCCACGGAAATCACAGGAGCCTTCATAAAACAAAAGTCAGACAGACAGACAGACAGACAGACAGACAGACAGACAGATAGACAGACAGATAGATAGATAGACAGATAGATAGATAGACAGATAGATGGATAGATAGGTAGATAGATAGATAGATAGACAGACAGACAGACAGACAGACAGACAGACAGACAGACAGACAGACAGACAGACAGACAGACAGACAGACAGACAGATAGATAGATAGATAGATAGATAGATAGATAGATAGATAGATAGATAGATAGATAGATAGATAGATAGATAGATAGATAGATAGATAGATAGATAGATAGATAGATAGATAGATAGATCCTCATAGATCCTCCAACCCTCATAACTTTTGCCTAACTAAACCCTCGTGAACCCGCACACGCACCTGGAGTTCAGCTATCGTTATCTTGTGGTAGATCTTTTCCTCGTCTCGCCGTTCTTCCTGAGGAACCGTGATGTTAGCCAGTGCTGTCTCGAAGTCCAAAATTTGCTGCATCTGACCCCGAGTGGAGTTCTTGTCTCCTCCCAACAACAATCCCAACTCTATCATGTAATCCAGATAAGCCTTCAACACCTAAACCCAGATCAGTGGCAGGCTATTAGACATGGACTAAAAGCTACTTTAAATATTACAAAATGTCTTTAAATATTGATACTTTAAGTTGTTCTTCATGATACCTTCTCGTTTGTTTTATTGAGGTAATAATCTCGGGATGGGAGGAAGAGTCCTGATTGGTCAGCCTGGAGAAAGTTTACACAGGTGAGCAAACACCACAGGTGTTATAAATATAGCAAATGCAATAAACAAAACATGGAACAAAAACTTTCAAAGTGCAGATGTTCATTAAAACCTGATAACTGAGTCAATATACCTGAATGACATTACTGTTAGAGTTTTTAGGGTCCACGCTGACACCGACAGTGAAGAAGGGCTGAGCTCTGTAAGGTCCAGAAACTATCTTTAAAACGTCCAGAAAATTATCTTTATCCCAGGACTCTGTGATGTTCCAGCCTCCTATCTACGCACACACACAAACACAAAGAAAAGGAAAAGACATCAGTTTCTAGTAGTAGGTCCACCTCAGTCTTGTCTTGTCATTCAAGACTGAGGTGGTCCTACTGTAGAAATCAAAAGCATTATCTTTTACTATATTCATCATCTTTTTTTTCCTTTTTTTTTGGAGAAACATGTTCCCTTTATGTAAACTTTTAAATGTTGGGGATGTAAAGAATGTGAAGAAAACAGCAATTTCAAAATTGCATTACAATTAACATATTGTAAGGTTAATTAATGTCAGCAATGGTTGCAATAACAACAATAAATGGCAGGACCCAAATGCGGCAGTAGATTTATTGAACAAAACTCGAAGAAACAAAATACATGGTTGAGATTTTAATTATACTATTTAAACTGGAACAAAACAACTGGTAAATCAGAGGAGAACAGACAAATTAACTGAACAAAACACAGGGCTTATAGGCTCATTTTACCACTCGCCCACAGTTAAACAGTTGAGTTTTACCGTTTTCAAATCCATTCAGCCGATTTTTTGATATTTAAAAGAATATCAGTAACCAGACAGTTTTTTGGTCTCATTGACTTCCATAGTAGGAAAAACATATATACTATGGAAGTCAATGAGACCAGAAACTGTCTGGTTACTCATATTCTTCTAAATATCAAAAAATCGGCTGAATACATTCGAAAACGGTAAAACCCAACTGTTTAACTCTGGGCGAGTGGTAAAATGAGCCTATTTCCCAAAAAAGTGGAGTATCCCTTTAAATACAAAAGGCAAACTAATCAACAATATGAACAGGTGTAACTGATGATCAATTCAACAAACTCAAACACAGGAAAAAGAGCTAGAACACCAGGGTGGAGTTAGCAATAAGAGGAGCCAGGGCCGAACCCCCAGCAGGAATCCTAAAACATAAGCCCACAGCGGAGTTGAGGGAGAGATGAGCCATGGTGGAGGGTTGCCGGGACTACTGACAGTTGACCCGAAGAGACTGGGCGACACAGAAGGCCCTGAAGACCAAGGTAGAGCTGTGGGGGCAAATGGCCAAGGCAAAGCCAGGGTGCCGGCATGCTGAGGCGGAGCTGGTGTGCCCGAGGACTGAGGTGAAGCCGGAGGGAAGGTGGAGCCCGATGGAGCAAAAGGGGTGGAGGGATGAGCTAAAGAGGAAGGCCCATATTTCCATGGCAATGGCAGAACAATAACTGACCAAGGCTGAGGCGTAGGGATGAGGAAGCCCAGTGGAGCTGTAGGGACGATGGTCCCTGGGGAAGCCAAGGATGTTGGAGCCAACAGGTCGACGGGCCGAGGTGAAGTGACGGGCTTGGAGATTCTAGGCAGAGCAAATGGGTCGACAGTCCAGGGTTAAACTGACAAACTATCCGCATAGGTGGAGACAAAGGACTGATGAGAGGCAGTGAAGACAGGGCAGTGTAGAACATCAAAGACATCAATAACTCAGTTCTGGGTGACAAAACAGGCTTGATGCAAGATGGGAAATCAGACAGGGTGCTAACAATTGTGCTCTCCTCCAAATCAATCACTGCATCCACATCCACCTTTGCTGACGGGATAGAGCTCCACACCATCCCCTCATACTCCACCAATATCCCCTTGGTGACGGACAATGTTGCCAGCTCACGCACCTGGTCAGACATGTTCGGCTCGGGCTCCAGGGTGACATATTGCTCAGGCATTGGCTCTGGCATCGCGGCAGGCTCGGCTATCGCCCTTTGAGACGGTGACGGCGACTGGCACAAAGTGCGCAACGTGGGCGGTTGCATTATGATCCATATTTTATTTCACAAGTAACAACTAGGACTGCTGAATTCTCTCCACAATTGAATCTCTTTGTTCATTCTGATATGGAAAGCCCAAGTTCCAACTCACATTCATTTTCTTGTTGAATATGTCACATTACAGATGTAAAATAAGCGAAAATGCCATTTCATGTTGATTTTAAAATGTTAAGATCAAAGGTAGAAAAGACAAAAACTTGAAGTGCATCATTCGGGCTGACACCTAATACCAAAGCCAATTAAATCTCTCACGTTTGAGAATAAAACTATTCTCGGCTCTCTTCAACACTATACGCTCTATCACTGTGATCCCAAAGGGTGGCACAGGAAGACAAAAAGATTGACAGATTGAGAGAAAGACATAAGGGTAGCAATTGTAAAAGTGTGTTCAAAAGAGCCAGTGTAAATTTTCCGTCTTTCATCTTCCCAGGCGAATCTCTTTTAAACCTTCCAGAAGGCAAATGTGTGGGGAGGGGTGTGTATTAAGTAGATGAAGTGCTGTTTGACATCACTGCTTTGTGTATGTTACACGGATTAATCTTTAAGGTCTGTGCCGAGGGTTAGTTTCAGAGCTTTTTTTTCTCAGAATGGCTGATTCAGAGAGATAGAAGTGCATAAAAACATCTTTCACAGAAGGACGCCTACATAATTTCAAGGCTGGCTGATTTTAAACCAAGAGGAATTGATAATATCGTTGCCATTTGAGATAAGTTATCTTGCTCAGTTCAAATAATGGATATGCACAGAAAACCAATCAAAAAAATAAATCAGGCATCAAATTAAATCAAAGGTCATTCTACAAAATTGGTATTTTTGTGTCCCCAATTAATACATAAAAATGACAACAAAAAAATAGCTGACACCAGCTGTTACTGTGTTGTTATAAGCATTTTTCTCAATTCAAACAAAATTCAATGACTTTAATTGGATTTTAATTGATTTTAGAATTATTTTTCTTCACAAGGATACCTGCTCTAATAAATTTGTACAATTGCATTATATATGCCTTATTAGAATAGTGTAACCATAAAATCGTCATCATCCTGATTTCTGCATCTCTGCAAGGACAAATAAACTTCTCAGTTTAAAGGATCATGTAACCATGATTTTGTATAGTAAACAATTACATAAACATTTGCATTAGCTTTACTTTAAAGAAACCTTCTTGAAATGGAACGGGTTCCCAATTCCTGTTTGCAATGTTTACCCTCCACACCAGAGGGGGCGCCACAGAAACACTTACCTTTGCAATCAAGTCGATGAGTGGTTGGGCTCCGAGCTCTTCTATTCGTTGTTCATTGAGACAGGAAAGGTAGTAGGACTGCGTCTTTCTCTCTGCCTCACTGCTTGAATTAAAGGTGCCATTTTCTACAGGAACACATGAGAAATTGCAAAAAGTTCACAAAATAGTAACATTTGAAAAATCGTATCACCAAAAGATGAAAACTGTCATCATTTACACACACTCATGTTATTCCAAACGTTACATCCAAATTTCTTTCTTCCATAGAATGCAAAACAAGAAATAGGCCAAGGTATAGTTATAGGCTTTAATTTAAAATAATTCTTCTACTTTTTCTAGCTCAACTGTCCTATCCTTTCATCAAAACATTCTTCAATTTACTCCTTTTGTGTTTGGAACACATAGGGTGACTAAAAGTGTGACTAAAACATGACCATTTTCATTTTTAGGCAAAATATTCTAAGGCTTGATGCTAAAGCAAAATTGTCCTCCACAGAAATAAAAGGACATGAAGTTCAAGAGACAGGAACGTCAGATAGTTAAGGGGGAAGCTTGGAGCGCACCATCACCAGGGTAAACAAACATGACAGCAGGGAGAACAAGTTGTGCGGGGTCACTGCACAGGGTCATGAAACAGCCATTTGAGTTTCTCCAGCTGCCTGACAAGCTGACAAGACGGTGCCCACTGATTGGCTCCCGTCATGTTGCAAAAGCAATGCAGTGGAGGTAAACTGAGTCATAACTGGAAGAACTGCAAAACAGGTCCTTTCATCCATCTTATTAACGTCATGTCCATGACAGCTGCCCTCACAAGACAAAACGGGATGAAATTCAGATGGCATCGGCGAGCCAAACAACCAGGGTGGTTGTGGCGAGCCGGATGAAGCAGAGGGCCATGAAAGAACGGTGCGAGGCCGGTGGAGTGATTAATAATGAACGACATCTGCGGGACGCACCGGTCTCGTATCGCTCATGGCCCTCTGCCTCATCCTGCACACCACAGTGATTTTCATCCTCAATAACCTCTGCCATCAGTTGCAGTCAAAACACTGTGTGGCGCAGCTGCCAGCAGCAGGACGGGCAGAGGGGAAAAGCACTGTCATGCTAACTTTATTCACATGAGAAATGGCAGAATTAAGAGGATAAATCCGGGAAAGATGATTGGCAGTGCTCGGTGCAAATTGAAACAACCAGTGAGGGCCAACCTATAAGTAAGCCATGCAGGTTGTCTTCCTGAAGAGAGTAAACAAATAGGCTAATTGGAAAATCGTGCCTCTAACTATGCTTTTGCAAAACTCCAAAAACGTACCTATACATACAATTAACTACAGTTCCCTTTTGAAAGGGAACTCACGCTTCATCCCCTAGTGGTCGCTACGGGTGGAATGCCTCCGGCTTTACTGGTGTCTGAAGCATGAAGCTAAACACGGCTAAACAAGTGAAATTGACATTGGCAGACGACGGCCTATAACGTCATCACCGTTGCGGCCGTGAGATAAAAGGGCACCTGTGAAATATAATCACAACCGGCGCAACATCATAGAATCAGATTCACAGCCCACTTCTAGGGGAAAAAAACTAGATTTCCCATAGACTTCAATACAAAATAGCGTCGCAAAACAACGTCAATAGACAGCCGACAGGTGTGAATAACTAAAGAAATCACTAAGATTAAACATGTCAAGTAATTATGTGCCCACCCTGCTTGCCATAGAGCGTTAACAATACATCAACAAACTTAATTTGGTCAATTTAAAAACATGTCCCTTCATTCTCCCAGGGTCCAATTGGTGTAACAACCCCACCCAGACATTTACTCGTAGTCGTACCTCATCGAGTCATTATTGAAAGTAAACATCTTTGAATGGATATATTATGTATTATAATATACCTTATAATATATATATAACCCCACTGGGTAGGGTTGTTACATCAATTTAATGCTGGGAGAATAAAGGGACATGTTTTTAAATTGACCAAATTAAGTTAGTTATGTATCTTTCACCCTCTAATGACAGGCAGGATGGACATATAATACTTACTTGATTACTTGATGTTTAATCTTAGTGATTTCTTAAATTATTCACGACTGCCGGTTGTGTGTGGACGTTGTTTTGTGACGCTATTTTGTATTGAAGTCTATGGGAAGTCTAGTTTATTTTCCCCTAAAAAGGGGTGGTGACGAAATTGACAGTTAAGTTCCTGGATGTGCCGGTAGTAGGTATGTCATCCTCTTTCTTATCTTCAGGATACCTGGTTGTTTGAATGTGTGTCTAAACAAGGTAATTGTGGCAACTGGCACAAAGTCTTTCAGGCAGAGTGTGCATCCATGTCAGCGTGACCACACAGTGAAACACACGAAAGTGCGTCATTTGCATTGGCGAGAACCATGCATGCTTAGTCCTCGGTGGGGCTCTTTCCGTGCATCGTGAGCGTCTTTCTATGAAGAAACTTCGCTCTCGTCTTTCCTTTTTCTTGAGGGAATCGGGACTGCTATTTACGCAATTTTGCAGTTCAGGACTGCTGCAGTTGAGACGAGTAGGAAACTTGTGGGGCTCGCAGATGGAGATTGCGAATGAATTAGAGAAAGGTATGAATATTTCTCATTAAAACTGCGGCTGACGAAAGATAGCTGCCGGGTGATGATGATGTGTTGTTTCACGCCATCAATTCCGGCAGCAAACACGCTCCTGGCTTCAATTCATGACGAGCAGGACAAGGACAAGGACAAGGCACTCCCAGTCCCCATGCCCTGCATATGACAAGTTCTGCCATGGAAACGCGTACAAGCTCCCTAGTTGCCACCTCAATGAACGCTTCCTCGATGAACGCTTCCACAGTCAAGCGAATTAAGCTGATGTTGAGAGGATGCAGTTGTATTGGTATGCACTCCAATGCCTCCGATTGAAGAGACGCTGGCCAGCTATCTCTCGGTGAGCGAGGCATCTGCATTGAAGGCTCCGACTCTTCCTACTAAATCTTTGCGTCACCTCGCATCTTAATGGCAGAGCATATGAGGCAGACGGTCAGGCCGGTGCAACGCTCCACACTATGGCAGTGCTGGGCCACCAGGGCCAAGGGGTCTCCCCTGAGATGGTGAAGGATCTGCGACGCACCACATATTTTTGCCATCTGAGCACATCAGGACATCCGTCAAGACTGTGTTCGGTGAAGTTTAGAGAGGCAAATGTATGCTCCCTCTCCTTCGAAGGGTAGAGCACTGAGGTAGCGTGAAGGCAGAGGGAGAAGGAAAGATCTGATGGAAGTGATCGATAATAAACGAGGTCAAGGTCCCAGAGGAGAAACAACATCTGCCTCCTTCCCCCTCCTTGGTTCTAAGTTGCTAGGCTCTCTGCAAGCTTTCTTGGTCACTATTTAACCAGAGCATTGTCAGGCTTCCTCTCACTTAGAGAGTCATTCTGTTAGAGGCCTCTGCTCCTTTTAGCTCTTACTATTGTGTCGGGCTGCTGGCACTGTTGTATAGCCTCCTTGACAGACATGGGACATACTGTTCTTTTGTCCTATGAGCTCAGTCATAGGTTAAGCTTTAGGCGGGCGTTGCTCGGTCTCCTCTCGCTAGAGAGAGTTATCCTATGAGGCTTCTGCTTCCCAGAGCTCCACTGGGACAGCATTACGTGTTGTAGGTTCGTTGCAAGTCTCACTGTGAGGTGTCCTGTGCGTGGGGTGTAGTTAGGAATCCTCTCAGTTTAGAGGGTTGTCATGTTGAGGCCTCTGCTCCTAGAGCTCGGCAGTAGCCTCCCTGGCTTCTGAGCTTTCGCTCTGTAAGAGGTCCGCTAGGATAGTAATTGCGAGTTGCAGGCTCTCTGTGAGCCTCCTTGCAAGATGTCCTGAGTATGGGGGATCATTAGGCGGTGAACGTGATTTCACCAAGTACCATATTTTCCATAATCTTTGTTGATCCTGGATCAACTTTCCAATCAACCAATCAGATTTGAGGGACAAATTTACAGTCTCTGTCAAGTTTAGGCTTAGAACTAGGGTGAAGTACTTAAACATCAGTGTTATTCACTTTTCATTACCCTCTGATTTTAAGGAAAAGTTATGGGTAGTGTTATGTTTAGGGGTAGGGATTGGGTAAGGACTACATTTTGGGTCAGGAATGTTGATCCAGGACCATATCTTACGTCCTGCTGCCGCAGAATCACGGTGACCTCGTTAGGCCACCTCTCGATTTAGAGAGTTATCTTGTTGCGGCCTTCGCTCCTAGACCTCGGCGACTATGTTTGTTAAGTTGCTAGGCTCTCTGTGAGCCTCCTTGTCTATTGTGAGCGTTGTTAGGCCTCCTCTCACCAAGGCCTGCACTCTCCATGGGCTCCGCTGGGATAGCAATTGTGAGTTTCAGGCTCTCTGTGAGCCTACAGGCCAGATCTCCAGAGTGTGGGGTGTCATTTGGTCTCCTCTCAATTTAGAGAGTCATTATGCCGAAGCCTTATCTCCTAGGCCTTGGCTATGTTTTGCTAAGTAGCCAAGTTCTCTGTGAGCTTCCTTGGCTATCGTGAATGTCGACAGGCCTCATCTTGGTGTAGAGAGTTTGTTTGAGGCTTCCGCTCCCTTGAGTCTGCTGAGTTTTTAGGCTCTCTGTCAGCCTCGTTGGATACTGCGAGCATTGTCAAGCCTCCTCTCACCAAGTAAAGATATATTCGTTGAGGCCTCTGCTCTCGAGTTCCGCTGAGATAGCAATTGCAAGTTGTTGGCTCTCTGTGATTCTCCTTGTGAGCTGTCCTGAGCGTGGAACGTAGCTAGGTCTCCTCTCGATTTAGAGAATCACCTTACTTAGTCCTCTATTACAAGAACTTGGCTAGATGGTAGAGTAGTATAGCAGGTTTGTAGGCTTTCTGGGAGCCTCCTTGGATACTACTACTCCCTGCCGCCTGCCAATGTCAAGTTCATTGTTGTGTTTAGATTCATGCAATTCTTAGGGAACTATGGTTACATGCGTAACCTGAGATGTTTCCAGTTGAATTGAACATTATTGGCACATTACTATTACAGGGTCAGTTCATCATTTCACACAAATTATGATTGCAGGGTCAGATTATCAACGAATAAAGACTTATTTTTGTGCAGATTACCATCCTGCAAGATTTGTAAACTAATACATCTT